GTCTTAGTCATGAAAGTCAAGGTCATAAAAGTCAAGAAAGATCAAAGAACTGGTGCAGACGGAAAGAGAATGAGAACATGGCTACCAATGCAAGATGTAGTTTTGAAAAACAAAACAAAACAAAACAAAACAAAACAAAACAATCACAACCAAATGCAACATGTGAATCCTTAACTTCTGTTAGAGAAGACTTGAACAGGACATTTGGGAAAATTAGAGCTGAGATGAAATAGTAGTCATGTTGTTTTCTGATTTTGAAAGTGATATGGTATTTATACAAAATGTCATTGTAGAAAAAGCACATTAAATAAAGTGTTCAAGAGTGATGGAGCACCCCAAATGGCTCAGAGGAAAAGATTCTTTGTGCTGTACTTTTCTGTAGGCTTGAAAATGAATCCATTTATTCAGTCTCATCTCCTGTACCACTGTCATAAAAATGCAAACCACCATCTTTTCCTTACATTGTTGTTTAAAACTCTTACGTCAGTGTTTCTCTCTCCTGACGTCTGTGAGCCAGGAACCTGGGCAGGGCTCAGAGGGGCAGTTCTGGCTAGAGGTGCTCCACGCAAGTACAGCCAGACAGCTGGAGTCTGAACACAGAGGGATGAAACTCTGCATCCTTCATGCAGTCGCAGGGCTTCCTTAAGTGGCTTCTCCATGTGGGTTAATTTGTGCTTTCTAACAGCATGGCATCCTTGGGGTAGTCAGAGTCCAGAAGAGGCAGGTGCCGGCTTCCAAAAGGGAGTGATCCAGTGAGCAAATCAGAAACTGTGCTGTCTTTTAATGCATGCAGCCTTGAAGTCACATAGCATCATTTCTGTCCTGCTTCACTAGTCAAATAGTTACAAAAGCAAAGCCAAATTGAAGGTAGGTGCACACCTATAATCCCAGCACTCTGGAGGCTGAGGCAGGAGGATTGCCTTGACTTCAAGGCCAACTTGGGCTACATAATGAGTTTAAAGCAGCCTTATCTACACTGTGAGACCCTGTCTCAAAAATAAAATAAGGGCCAAGGAGATAGCTCAGTGGCATAAGCGCATGCCTGGCAAGTGCAAGGTCCCAAGTTCAATCCCTGGTACCACAATAAATAAATAGAATAAAATAAAGGGACACAGATCCTTTCTCTTGATTAGAACAGTGTCAAAGTCACATGTTACAAGAGCACACAGACTGCAAGACTGTCATATGTTGTAGCCATCTTTAGAAAATACCATTGCTACAATGACTGATAAAGCCTCAAGAGATCTGGGTCTTTACGATCTTCCTGAATCTTCCTTTTTATATTTTATTTATCTCCCTAAGTTACTAAGTTGCCAAGGCTGGGCTCTAAGTTGCTATCCTCCTGCCTCAGCCTCCCAGAGGACTAGAATGGCAGGCATATGTCACCATGCCCTCTTTTCCTGTTATCTTCCTTGTTTTCTCTGATTCATCACACTGACTTCTCTATCCTTCAAAAACACAAACATATCCTTCCTTTGGGGCTCTGTGCTTGCTTTTCTCCTGTTCTCTAGAACATGTTTCCCTCAGATATTTAAATGCCTTACTCCCACATTTCCTGTAGGTCTCGAATTCTCATCCTACCTGGAGGCTTCTCAACAGCCCTCTCCTCAGCCCACCTTTAAATGCCTGGCATTTACATATTAATTTACCTTTGCCTCTTTCCTCTGCTGAATCTCTCTTGTTTAGTATTGACACTGATATCTTTAGCCAATAGCCACACAGGATGTATGGCCTATCAGAGCCACGAATGGGCTTGGAAGTAGCTCCCCTGGGCTTGTGGTTTGAGATGACAGTAGCTCCAGCCAACACTTTGATTGCAACATAGAGTGAAACTGAGGCAGAGGCGCCTAGCTGAACCCTGCCTGGATTCCCAGGCCCACAGAAAATGTGACATGACAAATATTGCTGTTCAATGCCCCTGAGTTTTCAGCTAGCTTGTTAAAGTGCAGTGGACAGCTACAACAGAGACCTTCTGTGTCGGATCATTACAGTAGCTGTGGCCAATGCACACTATGCCTCCGTATTCACACAGCCGTGTGGTTCTCTCATACTGTGACTCTGAGAGTTTGGCTCTGTCACTGGTTCTGGCCTGCAAAGCATCACAGTGTGAAATGCGTGCACACTGATACACCCCTCCAGGCATCTTGAGACCACAGAATCGGAAGCAACCTGAGACAAAAGACCATGTGGGGAGAGGCAGCAAGCCCAGGAGAAACCAGCAAGAGAACCAACACAATTGTGACCAAGAATGTACCGTTGCGGGGAGCCAGGAGTGGCTTTCTACTGGAGTAGGGAACCAACGCGTCTTTCTCATCTCTTTACGCCCTATAGTCCTAGTCTTGGCTCCTCAGACACTGAGCCTTTCTGTTCTTTTGTTCTCATTCACTTAACTTATAGTGTGAACCAGCATGCACACTGTGCATGTACACACATATTTTGCCATAACAAAATAGCATAAAGTGGGAAGCTTAAAACAATAAAAAATTGTTCTCTCACAGTTCTGGAGGCCGCCAGGCAAGGTCAAGCTGCAGACAGGGTTGTGCTTTCTCAGAGACTTCAGAACAGAGCTAGTTTCCCAGCTCTGGGCTGCTGGTGTTGGCCATGGTCTTCACTGTCCTGCGGCTCATAGGCATTAAACTCTAGTCTCCATGTTGCCAACATCCATGGTGTTTGCCTCTTGAGTCTCCACATTGTATTGGGTCGAGGGCTGACCCTCCTCCAGAATGATCTCGATTTAACTAATTCCCATCTGTAGCAACCCCACTCCCCAGTAAGGCTGTGTTCTGAGGTACGAGATGGTCCTAAAAGCTCCATGCATCTTTTGAGGAGATGCACTTCCACCCATGACTTGAGACTACAGTCCCTGCTCCCCTGCTGTGCATTCTAGAGCTCTTAAATAGTCCAGCCTTTAGCGTGACAGTACAGTGATTCTTAGCAGTTAATTTCATCCGGCATTTATTGAATGCCAATGACTATATGCAAAGCACTTATATGGGCTTGGATTCAAATAAATCGATATAAATACTTGGTCATGTAGAGTTTGGGCAACCCTTGCTAGGTTAAAGATTAAATTAGGACCTGTATTGATTTTGGTTAATTCTGTCACTAACCATTGGGGGAAGGTAAACAGTGAACAGATCTGTTCAAATACCTGTGGGTGGTGAAATGCCGTGCTGGGCACAGCCGCCAAAGATTTCCTGTTCGGCCTGCACACCCTCATTTGTGATCAACGACCTTTATTTAGCAAAGCCAAAGAAAGTTGCCCTTGATGGGATAGTTAGTGTGACTGCAGCGCCAAGCTCTGTCACTCTCTCACCCCGCTAGAGACAGGACAATTAATTCCTCAGCTATTTTTTCTTTGAGTATTTTTTTCCTAAGCCAAGTTTCCCAAGAATTTATTTATTTTTGTCTTTTTTTTGGAGCTAAAACCACAGATGTTCCTAGCTCTGGAGATCAGAAGTACTTTTGCATACCTTCGGGTTTTCCAGTATTGCATAACTTACACTTGTCAGGACTTTTTCCTTCTTTTGTCAGTTCTGGATGTTGTTTAATCCTTTCCTTGGCTTGTTCTGATGTCTTTTTTTCTACCTACTCAAAACGAATGTTTAATTCATTTATTTTCATTCTTTCTTGCTTAGTATGAATATGCATGAGCTCTTAATTTTCTGTTTAGGAACAGGCCTGACTGCGACTGAGATCCCAGCGCAGGCTTCACCGGGCCCAGCGGTGCTCCAAGCAAGCTTTCTCTCACCACCTCTTTCAAAAACAACTTTTATCTCCTCGGCATTGAAGGCAGTTTTGAAGCACTCATCTGTCTGCGAGAAGACAGGCACAGTATTTATCTTCACCGAACCTTCTTTCTGCCTTAGCATGGGAGGGGGTTAGTAACAAAGGACAAAGGACATTTAACTACTCTGATGCCTGCTTTACTGATAAAGCGCTACTCAACTTTCCTCTTGTGTCTATTCTTGGAACATGCCAAACTTCAGCTGTCGTAAGGCCTTTCCTGGCGGGCATCACCCTAGCACTAGATTCCCTCACCGCCATCCTTCCTGCCTAGGCCTCCCTGGTGCTGGGATGACAGGCCTGCACCACCATGCCTGGGTGCAAATGCCAATTCTTTAAAACTTACTGACCCTCAGATCTAAAACAGCCTCCCTCCACACTGATCTGGCTCGTCGCTTTCTCCTTCTGATCTGCTTCCACTTGAAACTGCAGGGAGCAGAAACGTTTTCTTGTTCACAGCCTCGTTCTGAGTCTCCTAAGAACCAAGGCACACAGTAGGCACTGAAGATGTGCGCGACGACGTGAATGCATTTCTCACGGCAGTGTTGCCTGAGGAGCCAGTACTTTCAGGTCTGCAGCTACTTTGGATTCTGAAAGTGCAGTCGTGGAAGTGAGACCCTGGCTGGCCGGCTGGATGTGTGACTTCGAGAAAGTCAAAGAAAGCAGAAAGGCAGAATGCACCACTGCCTTTGTCACCCCGAGGTTGCTACTCGGCGGCGGGGAGACAGGCCCTGTCCCAGCAGCTGGGGGAGAAGAAGGCGGGAGGAGAGGAAGAGAAGGGCGGTGGTGTGCTGTGACCGGCGAGCAGAGGGCACAGGGCCGCCGGCCGGGCGCGGGAGGCAGAGTGGCGCAGCCGGGGCTCCGAGCGCGGTGCGCGGGGTCCGGCTGGGGCCCGGCAGGGGCCGGCTGGGGCGGACCGAGGGCCGGGTCCGAAAGGGCGGAGTGGCGACCGGAGGGGCCCCGGACGTAGGAGGGAAGGGGCCGGGCAGTGCCAAGGTGACCCCGGGAGCGAGGTCCGCCCGGGTGGCCTGGCACAGGCGAGTGCGGGGGTAGGAGCGCGGGGGCGGTGCGCCGGGGCCGGGCTGGGCCGAGGGTGCGCCCGGGTGGC